TGACTGACTGACTGACTGACTTTTCGATGTCCTTTCTAGCCGAGACCCCTAGTTCAGACGATCCCTGCCAGCTAGTCAAGTGCGACTTCCATGGAGTTTGTCGAGCGGCTGATAATGGTGATGCTGTGTGTGAATGCAACATGGCATGCCCATTCATCGATGATCCTGTTTGTGGATCGGATGGAAAGAATTACTCCAATGAATGTGTGTTGAAGTCACAAGCCTGCCTTACTAAGACTGACATCGACGTTGTTGGTGGTCCTGCTAAGTGTGGTAAGCTAGCGTTCACTTTCTCATAGGCGAGGCGAATTGCGGTTTACCCTATGATCTGAGAAAGTGATCTTTGTCAGTATGTTTGAGAAATAACCTGAGCAACTACAAAGAAAGCCTTACCAATAGCCCTTAAGCTTAACGTAACGTAACAAGGATTTACTCATCTGCTGGTCGTAAGTCTCCTTTTTTGGAAGGGATTTGGTCATTAACTTTTGCGTCTGAAACATTATAGTTGCATCTGAAAATATGCATGTTATGTGATCAAAATCTCAAGAGGCTGCGAACATATTTAGTAAGTATGAAAGATGCTGTGAAGTATGGGAGGCTAAATCGGGAGATGAGATTCTGTCCTGTAAGAGCTTAATCATCGGTTTGAATTGAGATTATTATTGGACTCTCTCTCTCAGAGGGAGATTTCTAATTGTAATTTCCCCACATGGCCATGTTATTATTGCTTTTCTTACTTATCTTCTTTCTTTTCCTCAGCGTCGCATAGACTGAAATGCATGTCTTGTCCAGCACGCTCAAACCTCTTTGCTCGTTACTGTGGAAGTGATTTTGGTAAGTCTAGGATCGTCGGTCAATTTCGAAATATCACCAGAAAGAAAAGTCACGTTTCGAATAGATATGTGTAAACCAATTTTTGTTTAGTACGAGATTAAGATGTCAACCATATTTGGCTCTTATTACCATCATAATCGTGTCGAAACACCTAGCGAACGCTGGATATCTTGTTATAGGAATTAAGACTTGCGTTTATCAACGTATTTTAATATACTTGGTGGGACTAAAATTGTCGGAATTTTGGGTTCAAAATGATAGCATTATTTTTTTCATGTGCCGCTGTTTTAGAGATCCTTGCAATAACAGTACATGAAATTTACACGAAATTGAACAAACGCGAATTTTTTTAACGTTATGTGGTTTTAAGGAGCGTGTATTTTCATTCTAACACGTTTTCTGACACTTCTGTTTTTCCAGTTATCGAAGGCACAATAGTGACGTTTGACAGCAGTGAAGACATGGATTCCTCAAGCGTAATGGTGCTAGTGTCGGGTGTGTTCAAAGGATCGGATTCAATACAAAACAAAATTATCAAGATCAACTTTGTTGAAAACTTGAACAGGTAAGATACATAAGGAAGACTGTCATTTCGGGTCTCATTTGTCAAAAGCCTAATGCTCTATTCCGTAGCACGAAGGGACTGATAGTATTATACGAAATAATTGTAAGTATTATTACTACTTAACTGCTTCCCAGGCTAAAGTTGCTAGTTCATCGCATGCTAATACTCCCAGCCGATTATCCATTTGGGTGAATAATTTTTCGATTTACCCTCCTTGCTCCCAGGGTTTTCCTTCGGGTGGGTTCTCCAGTTTTTCGCCCTGTCTCAAAAACCAGCATTTCTTAATTCCAGTTTGATTGGGAATCCGAAGGCCACAGCGTTGATTTGAGTTATTTCTATTTTTTCCAAGAACTGGTATGAATATTTTTCAGGTTTGACTGATACGTGTAGGATTGACATCTGCAAATCTCCCAACGTGTATTTTACTGTATATTCGTCACGTCACCCCAAGGGTATGGAAGTAACGGAGACCCGCCCCACCCTACCTCACCTCGATGAAACGAATTTATTTACAATGGGTTTTCCAAACCTTTTCCATTTTTTCAGTTGCGTCTGCAAAGAGCTGAAACTGAGAAAGACTGTTGTCATCGCTGGTTCCGTGACAGATGAAGGTGAATATCTCCTCGACGAATCCAGTTATGTGCGTCACGCAAGCGAGCACTTGCTGAAGAAAGTTCAAGAACGTACGAAACGTGACAAATGCGGCAGGATCAGGAAACAACCTTGAACACCGCCATGATACATCTCAACAGAAACAAGGATAGAGACTTTGAAAAAAAAAATACAAAAATCAACATGGACGCGACCTTACTTAGAGATATGTACTAGAAACCCGAAAGACATTTGTGGTGAATTTTTTAATATTAATTTTTGCGTGATTCAAGAGCTAAAACTAGTTTTTTGGCCAAAGCCAAGCGATTTTGTGACATAGCTAGTAAAGGAAAAGGTATGTAGAACTCTATGAACTTAACTTTTTTAACTAACAAATATTAACTAAACATCAAACGTACGAAGTATGAAATATAAATATATTTTTTTAGTAAACTAGTTTTTTGACTCGGAATATTTTTTTAGCTAGCAGCTGTGACATTTGCATGTAAAATAATAGTTCTTAATGTGGTAAACTAAAGTATGGAATTAAATAATAAATCTTGAAATGCCTACAAAATGTCAAACGTGCATATGACGGGAATAAAGAATTAAATGTATGGCTGAGCTTGCATTTCTAACTTGCGACCAACTTGGCTTGGCCATGTTGTTCTGCGAAAAATTCTGTATGTTTGCTCTCATTCCTTGGAGTGATCAAGGTTGAGACAGGTGTTGTTTGCCGAAGGCAGACCAGCATTCAAATTTCCCGCGACATTACTTTAGGATGGTAAATTGTTCGTTAAGAAAAGTGCATCATGCACTTTTCTACATTTCGTAGCCGTCCTCTGCAAATCGACTACGTTAAGTGACCAGTTTCCACTAACAGGAGAAGTTTGTTTAGAGAAGGTGAACCACTTCGGCTAATTTTTCTTATTTCTATCGATTTGGAACTGAACGCATTCACAGTATATTTAGGAGAGGCAAGTTAATTGATCTAATTCTAAATTTTAATATTAAACCAGTCATTCCCTTAGGAGAGGGGCCCTCCCTTATAAGAGCTAAACCAGTGTGTACTGCGCCAAAGGGAATAGTTTCGCTGTTTGTTTGTTTGTTTTTTAGCTGTGTTGATCTGAAATATGACACGTCTATTACAAGCAATTCTGGTTGGTTGAGGTCATTTATTAGCGGCACACCTTCACTGCAATTAGTATGGAATCTTGTTTGATAATTTGTTTATTAATTGATCGGGCGTTCGTCAGTGAAGGACATGTTTGCGCAAGAAAAAAATAAGCTGTTGCCTAACTCGGCAATCCGCTTGAGAAGAATTGAGGTTCAGGAAAGTGGGCTGTTTAATTAAGCATGCTAAGTTTCTAGAAAGTGAGTTGAACCCTCCGCTCCCACGGTGAGCCATAAGAAACAATAGCGCTCAACTAGTTTTAACAGTTACCTCAAGAGATAGTCAGGACTTTCTGATTCCACGCGCGTGTATGGTGCGCGTTTCGAGCTCGCACGCGCGTGTTCAACATTATCGGTTTCCAGCTTTCGAACTGTTCAGTATTTCAAAAACGTCAGTCAACTATAAAAACGGTTTGAAACCCTTTCTGAAATACACATTTGCCGGCACTAGTTAAAAAGATGGCTTACGCGGAGGCCGCTTCACTGTTTGGCTGTTAATAATGTATAACGCAAACAAAACTTGCCATGATATTTAAACAACCACATGCCACCACTGGCAGGTTTCTAGTGTTGTGATTGGACAACGAAAAGCAGTCGCTGGCAATGAATTTGTCTTTTAACCGGCTGTTTAATTCCTGATCTGAGAAGGCCATCGATTGACTTTGTGGCACTTCCACCAAGATGGACGCCGTAAAGACCTTCATATTTTTGGCGGTGTACTTGCAGGGAAGTCAGTGCACAGAAAGGAAGAAGTCGTTTAGGTCATGCCAGGATGGTAAGGGGTCATTTTACGACTTTTCTATCGACGACATCCACGGCTTGAAAGTCCCGGACACGTTTCACAAGAATCACGTCGCTTTAGTTATAAACGTGGCGACGTACTGAGGTTTAACCATGCAATACAAACAATTGAATGAATTACTACAAAAGTACAGCTCCAAGAAGAACAGTAAATGCGACTTGAAAGTCCTGGCTTTTCCTTGTAATCAGTTTGGCCTTCAAGAGCCAGGAGAGAATGCGTACGAGATAATAAATGGACTGAGATGGGTTCGGCCCGGGCACAACTTTACGTTAGATCCTAATTTAAAATTGATGGAGAAAATTGATGTAAATGGGAAAAAAGAAAGTAAAGTGTACGCATTTCTCAAGGTAAGTCAGCGTTGACTGTGATTATTTTGGAGAAAGATCATAAACAACATTGTGTAAGAAATAAATAATTGATTAAGTACACGAATTTCTAAAGGTGATTCCGACAAGTTCAAGTGAGTAAATAAATACATGTGGCTGTGTTGCGATAATATTTTATCTATATTAGCTTCATATATGCACGTGCAAAAAAAATCAAGTTTCTTTAAGTGGTTACTAGCGTTGATTAAGAGAAAGGCAATTGTCTATAAGTACACGACAAAATGAAGACAGAAAAAACATTTTAATA